ATTTCAAGAGCAAGAGTAGCACCTACTGAAGTCTTATTGAAGAAATGTCATGTGTGTAGACACTTTTATGGTATAAAGTGGCTACGCATAAGCTTATTTGAGGAGTTGTGTTGCGTGTAGCTACTTTTGGGACCAAGAGTGACAACTACAAAAGCTGTTTTGTATAAAGATTCCTACGTATAGCTACTTTTATCGTAGAAAGTACTCATTTTAGTGTTGTACATGTTGCACGTGGCTACTTTTGGGATAGAAAGTAGTTACACCAGAAGCGTGAGAAATATATAAATAGAAACTCAAAATTAAATGGGCTTTTCTCTTTTTTTTTTTCTTTTCTAAACTCTTAGAGGGATAGGGAGAGAGCTTTGGGAGCGAATTTCAAGGTTCAACTCTAGGGTTTTCAACTTTTAATCTTTCTTCTCTTGTTTTCTTTGATTTTTCCATTATGCTTCTCTTTGTAATCTTGAATTCCACTACTATGGAAGGATAAATTTCTGAATCGGTTCACAACTCCAAGGATCAAGCAAATTACAGTTTGAGTTCTATTTTACAATCATCAAATTCAATTTTGTTCTTCTCTTTTTAATTTTGGATCTGTTAATCATGATTATGATATGCATTTCTGTGAGTTGAACATTGAATTAGGTAATTGATTAACAGCTTGATTTGATGCATTTTAACGGATTAATTGGATGATATTTTGATTAAATCTATAAATCGGTTTGATTTTACTATTTGATTGAATTGTATAATTGCACTGTTTGTTGTTCAATTTTTCATTTTAATCTTAAGCTACTATGATAATTCATATTGCATGTTTCTGAAGATCTGTGGATCGATGTTTTCATTCTTTGTTAGACATTTCTACATTTTTCTTTATCTGATAAAGAAATCCCCAAATGATAACCTGTGTAATTTGTATTTCAATAAACAAAACTAGAGTGAAAAGAAAATTGAATTGTTTCTTTGTTAATTGATCTAGGTTGCACTCTATATTGTAAATAGGGAAATATAGTTATTTTTTATACTGATTCGGCATCATTATCAATGTACATTTTTTACCATTTATTTCTCATCATATATTTAAATAAATTGTGTCAAAGGTCAGACACCTCCAAACTCAGTCTAAATTGCATATTTTTACTAAATCATATGTCATCCATTCAAGAAATAATAAACATATATCATTTAATTTATCAACTTAAAGAATCCAGTTTCAAAAGTTAGATTGCGAAAGCAGAGCATGTAACCACTCGTAAAGGCAAAAAGTATATATGAAATTTATATACATCGTGTAGGCATAGTTTTATTAATAGGTAAAACTCTCCTTACCTCAAGTAGACAATTTAAGCAAAAATTTTGGTGGAAGATGTTGTCCAAAAGAACAAATTCTTCCTAAGTATCACAAAGTAAAGTAACTCTTGAGTAGAAAGAAAATGATGAAATATGAGTGAAATTACAAGAAAAAATTCTAAGAAACTTATTAAAAATCACGTGAAAAGATATCTAAGCTCAGTTTTGAGAGAGGTTTTGGAGTTCAAAAGTGTTTTCTAGCTGAGGAAGGCAATGAGAGGACTAAGAGTGAGATGAGAATAGTTATTTGCCTTGTGATCTAAGTTTTAAAAATGTCACAATAACTTAAATATCTTTTTTCTTGAGGATTTTTACTTGAGCGAGATTATTATCGCTTAAGCGAAAACTTTTCTTGCTTGAGGAATGTCATTCTCGCTTGGGCAGAAAAATCGAAAAAATCTTCTACACATTTGCTAATATTTTGTTTGAATAAGATCACTCTCGCTTAAGCTAAAACCTTCCAGAGAGCTCCTATTTTGTCGCCCATTCTCGCTTAAGCGAAGCATTTCTTGCTTAAGCGAGAATATAGATGAAAACTTTTTATCCATTCTCGTTTAAGCAAGATATTTCGTACTTGACCTAGAAATACTACAGTTTTTTTAAGAAACTCTTCTATTTTAAAAACAAAAAACAATAAAAATTAGGGTGTTACAATTAACTTATCTGAGGCTATCACTAAGATTTTGAGTGAAGCATTTCTTGCTTAAGCAAGAGTATAGATGAAATTTTTTTTATACATTTTCGCTTGAACGAGACATTTCGTACTTGACCTAGAAATACTGCAGTTTTTTTTTTTAAGGAACTCTTCCATTTTAAAAACAAAAAACAATAAAAATTAGGGTGTTACAATTAACTTGTCTGAGGCTATCACTAAGGTTTTGAAAGGGCAAGAAGCCTACCAATTACTACTTTAATCGAATGTATGTATGAATGTTTAGTTAAATACTAATAAAGCAAGGGTTGAGCTTAAAGGTGAAAAAATATTTTGTTGTAAAATCATTGAAGCAATCGCAAAAAACATTAAGAGCTTATTAGGTGGTCAAGATAGGATCATGATCGATAGGATAATAGGGTTAGATAAGAGTAAAATAGCATCATGCCCTTATCCTATCCAATTTTTTTTATCAAACTTGATAGAAAGAAGAATATAACATAAATATACAAAAAATGACAAGATTATTCTTTTATTTACATTTACTAAATTAAATTTTAATTTTTGTTTTACTCTGAATAAGTTATTTACGTTTAATTTATAGAAAATATATAAATAATTTAATATATTTTTAATTTTTAAAACATATAAAAATGGATAGGAGAGTGACGAGAGAGAGAGAGAGAGGGAAGCATAGCAAGATAAATTAATCATATTCTTATGGCTAAATAAACACTTAATTAGAAATATGATATGTTATTTTATTTCATCTACCTTATTTAGGCATCAATATTATCTAGACAATTTTGTCAATGTGGGAGATTACGTGCATATAGATTCTTATACTTATGCGTCATTTCTCTTGTGCTATCTTGAGTGTTGATTTTTGACAATATGTTGATTCTATTTATTTAGTTCTTTATGTTGTTAATGCATACTTTGCAAAGTGATAGCCTATTAAAAATAAAAACAACATTTGGATAAGTAATAAATGGAAATTGGTTCCTAATTAAGAGAGATCACATGGTATATTTGTAGAGATTAACTGGAACCAATTCTAAAAAATGTGTATTTTCTAGAGCACGAGGATATATTAAAAAAAATATGTATTTTTAGAGATTAATTATTTATTTAAGCTTTATCACGTTTAAAGCTAGCATTTCATGTGGTAAGTATGAGTGAAATACCATTTACTTAATCATTACTTGAGAGTTAATGGTAATGACTACTTAAAAAAAAAATTGCAGGACTAAATTAAAAAAAATATAAAGTCTAATAAAAAAGGGTATATCTTCTTTTCACCCACAAAATTGGCACATGACATTTATTTCATATCACTACCAAAATATTGTTCTATCACAAAAAAAAAATATAAATTATATATATATATAGCATTTTCTTCGATAAAAAACTTTCCATATCATAAAAGAATCCATCACTCTCCTTATATTTGGAGAAAAGAAAAAGAAAACCCTTAAAAATTAGAGCTTGTTGATTTTAAATTTTAAAAACAGTTTTTTTCAAATAAATTATCTATTAACATAATTTTTATTTTATTTTATTTTAAATTTTTTTAAAATTGTTTTAAAATATAATTTTTTAAAAAAATGCCCCTTTTAACATTTTTTTACATGATGCACACTCATACAATTTTCATTATATAGTTTTCAATGAAAATATGTATATTAATTAGGAAAATAGTCTTTAAAAACTTTTACGTTCCTTTGCATTTTTATTTTTATTTTTATTTTTGTATGATTGATTGATTAACTCAAAGTGATTCTCTTGTACAGTTGCTCGTGAATTAGATCAATCTCTAGGAATTAAAACAACTTAAAATTAGGATCAATAAATGACGAACAAATATTAACATAATTGAATAGCATATTTGAGCTATAACAAACTCAAGTAGCCTTTTGGGCAAATCATTCAAGTAAATAATATCTAACATCAACTCTTAAACTTAGTCCCAAGGGTAACAAAAATCTTAATAAAAAATAAATTATTAATTAATGTTCTTATATGTAGTCAGTTCATATTTACTATTTAACATGATATGCCTCAATATTGTGATGTCCATTTATAATTTCCTGGTTAAATGACTTGTAGCCTTTTAAGAAAAAGGACTAAAACCTCAATTTGTTGCCCACCGAAATGTTGTGCTTAAATAAAGGCTAATCTTTATTGTTTTTCTTCTTTAATGAATTACGTTGTTTCAAGTTTTATGTCGAGTTAAATAGCTTTTTTAAAACACCAATTTTGCTTCTCAATGAGCCTGATCTTTTATTTTTTTGGAAAAGAATATACTACTGACGAAGGTATTGTAACCTCTGAAGATGTTGAGGAGCTATATTAAAGATGAGGAAAAACATGATGGTGATACTGTTGAAGTACATTTGACTCCATCAAAATCTGTCAACTAGTCAGAGTGTGCAAGAAAGTAGAAAGGATGTAGAAAATCAACCAAGAAACCACTAGAAATCACGTTAAACCCGTCTCAGCGTGATAGCTATAATTTGTAGTGTTAGAATGGATCCACATTTGAGTGAATTTGAGGCTAATCTAAACACAAACTGAATGACCCAATCAAGATTTGAATGATGTGAAAATTTAACCAAATTTGCTCCTCTATTTCATTTCCTTTTTTGATTTTCACATTACCATATTTTCTTGCAGATCGTGACTTTGATAGATCTTGATAGGGTTAAAAATACTCCAACAACATCATCATCATTTTGTTGTTCTTCTTCTTTATGTAGCACTTCAGCAACATCGGCAAGTTTTTTAGTCCCTTTTAACTTATTATAAAATTAGAAACAAAATAATTCATTAAAGAAGAAAAATGGTAGATTAGGTGTGCCGTGGCATGTAGTGATTTTTCCTTACTGACGCTTCCATTTGTCATGGAAGGAAACTCTAGTGAAATAGAATTAAAATTATAAGGCATTACACTCAATTTTGTGTGTGCTTGATTTAATAAGAAAACCTTAACTTCCATAATGCAAGCTCTGACAACATAGATTTTCATTAGAAGCTCAGCAGTGTTTTTAGCCAAGGAGTTACAACATAAAGAACTTATACTATTCTGATGCTTATCTGCAACCATTAATCTTTTAGGCTTATAGTGAAATTTACATAGCAAAAAAGTGAAAACCTGTGGATTGACACTAATGGAAGGGCAATCTTCGAGAGGCTAAAGGTGAGCCGGGTGACCCCTCACTACTTTGAGAATCCCCTCTCCATGCATCCTGCACTTGAGATGCAAACTGCAAATTCCACAAAACATCCTCTATAGAGGGCCTATCTGCTGGCTCTTTAACCAGGCACCTCACACAAATCTCCATCATTGTCTTCAATGATTGATCCAAGCATGCCTTGCGAACTGCAGGATCAATAATACTCCTCCTACCCTCTTCATCAGCTCCTATACTTGCTTGCAACTGCCTCATATTACAATTAACAGAAAAAGGGTCATAGAAATGTAGATGATTTATCTTGAATATGGATTATGAAAACTACTAGTATCTTGCAATCTGATCATTAAGGCATTTTACTTAGGTACCCGGGAAGCATGTCAATATGATTCTGAATTCCAAAAGTCTTATCCATTTATATTCCTATCTTATAGTTTTCTACATTGATTAGTCAAATATAATGGTCTATAGGGTCTTTGATGTTTCACTTCTTAAATATAAAAATATGATCATTTATCTGGAGAATGGTGGCCTTTTTGTTCAATAACAGAATTACAGTTCACATGAACTCTCATTTTCAAGAAAATCAGTGACGAGAGATTTACACTCTGATTTAAGCATCAAGTATATCCCAGTTGGATCGTACAAAAAAATTGATATTAATTAAACAATTAATAAACTTGAAAGACTTAAACAAAGCAAGGAAAACAGAATGGAACACTGGAAATCAATCAGAGTGCTTATTACCAGATCCCTAAAAGCGTATGCATCATTCGTTGCCTTTATTTTCCTTCCTAGAATGAGTTCGAGTAGTATCATTCCAAAGTCATATATATCAGACTTATCTTCATGCTTTACACTGCAAAACAGAAGAATTCATTAAAAACCAACCTTGCATCCATTCATATGCATGTGGTGTAAACAGGGTATTTTTCTACATGAGAAATTTTCATTCATATCATATGGTATGCAGAATCACAGTAGACGAGTTCTATTTTTCAACCATGTTACTCAACCTGATTTAACTTTCTATCACTCACCTTTTATTAATTCTAGAGTTTTTTAATCCACTAGAAGAATTTCCATGCCGAACCTGGAAGGATAAGATTAGGTGAATCAGTACCAGCTGAAACCTTTCCTGATAAAATAAATAAAAAATAATATTTCATAATTATTTTGTTCATACCTTTCCCATGTTAGATAACAAAGGCAGGTGGTAACTGCTGATTTTTGCAACAAGATTCTGATCCAATAAAACATCTTCTATCTTGAGATTGTTGGAATATACACCAGGAACAATTCCTGTATGCAAAAATTGAATTCCCTTTGCCACTCCAATTGCAGCTCCTATACGTTGAGTCCAACTCAGGGATTTTCTATCATGCCCATCTGCCAAAAACATGTAAGGCATCAATACCATAATTGTGAAGGGCAGAAAATGACTAGTCAGGTTGGAGGATAACAGAAATGGCATTATTGTCTCAATCTTCCACTACAACTTGGCACTGAATTGACTAGTTTTATAGAAAATATTAATGGTATCTCCTCCTCCTCAAATACAAATTTATTAATTCATGCAAGTTATCTATAGAGATCACTAAAGGCAGAAGGGGATAAATGAATTTGCAACTACTGCTGATGGAATGCCCTTTAATGAACTTTTAACATCTTTTCATTCTGTTTCTTGCTAGAATAATACCATTTTCACAACCTGAGAAAGAAGGGGTTGTTTTTAATGAATTACCAAAGATCCAACTCTTGAGCGTGCCATTCGGTACATGTTCGAAGACAAGAAACACTTTGCTGACACTTGAATCATCTAAAGAACATTCAAAGCAGTGTCCTAGAGCACTGACTAAATGACGATGCCGAAGTTTTGATATCAACTCTATGTGGTGCATAAAGTTTTGAGTGCTGTATCTCTTTTTCATTTCTATGCATCTAATAGCAACGAGTGAGCCATTCTTCAGCTGACCTCTGTACATCTGATACACACAAGAACACATTATTTTAAAATGAAACACTTATCAGAAATTCTTGTAACTTCAAGCTCAATAGTGAAGTAATTGAATCATACTGCATAATCAAATTAATTTTATGATGCTGGCTTATATTACCACTATTAGTGAAAGAAAATAAAACCTTTGTATTTGTATGAATTTAGTTCTAAGACAAAATTCCTCCATAAGCAAAACAATTTGAGACACTGTATCATACCTTCCCATAAGAATCTTCACCCATTAAAGAAGCTGTGTCAAAGTAGTTTGTAGCTGCCTCAATCTCTTCCAATGAGAAACTTCGATAAGTTGGCAGGCCAACTGCTCCCAACTTCTTGGTTTGAGATATATACCCTTTAAGACAGGAAAAATACATGTTGGTCAATCTTTCAAATATGGAACTATACGGAAAAATGTATGAGTCACTTATGATTCTTCCGTATCATCTCCTCCAGAAACATTTACGAATCATTTAATGACTTTAGTGAAAAAGAAAAATTCAAGCACCTTTAGTGGTGGAACTCAAATGAGTTCTTAAATTTATTTTATGTGAGTCCAACAATGCTACATGTGTTTAAAGAGCTTTCTCAATTTTTTGCTTTAGTAGTAGAACTAAAGCTTGAGTTCTTGGATTACTTTTTGCAGGTTCTATCAAAATTATTATATTATTTGGATTGGGGAAGAATGCTTTAAAAAATTATTTTTTTGAAGAATAGTGCATTTCTTTTTGATTCCTGGCCAAGCAATGCCCCTCTAGCGTGAGCACTCTTGCTGGCGATTACTAGTGGTTCTTGTGGAGAGAACCATTTCCAAGAACTACCTATAAAGGTGCTCTCATAACTTGTTTAACTGCAAGCATCCGTTGCTTTCATTAAATTCAAACAAGCATGATGTCCATGTACCTGGTTTACAGCTGCGAAACTATTTCTGTTCAGGTCTATCTAGAGCTGTCAGAAATTAGATAATATTTCTTAGGTTAATATTAGTTTCTCCTCATCAGTTTCATGCTTATTTTCCCGCATATGTTAAATGTTGATTTTCGATATATGAAACCAACTGTTGTCAATCAAGGTACAGGACTGCTGCAGCAAGCTAGATAGAGTGCAGGCTTATAATTGCAAGAAGGCAAGATCCTACTAAACTAAAGAATCTAAACCAAAATATATCATAGTTAAGCATGTAAAAAGTTAACTCAAATATTTTTCTTGTTTCAGAGATCGTGTAACTTGAGTGTGTAATTTTTCTATGGCAACAAAAATCCTATTCGTAAAATAGCACTGGTAAGGGCTACACATTAGACTCGTAAATATCTGAGAATTTTCCAAATATTCTTCATGTGGATGAAGAACTGCATAAAATTGTATACAGAGTAGTTAGATCGTGCACACACTAGAGTATGTTCACATGCATGTGTGTGTATGAGTGTCAGAGAGAGAGAGTTACTTGCATCAGAAAGTAACTTAGAGGTGTATCCAGAAGCAGCATTTTCTGATATTAATCTTGTTGGAGGACTCTTCATTTTGCTTCTGGCATTTCCTCTTCTAACAAGAAAGAAAATCAACAAAACAAGTGCTACTCCTCCAAGAGTCCCACCTACTATGCCAAGGGAAAGAACTACCTTAGAAACTTGTCTGTGCTTCTTTCTCTCAGGTAATATTCCCACAGCTAAGGCTTCAGTGTGGCAAAAAGGTTGTGGCTGCTGATTTTGATTTGTAGTCTCTAGACAATTTCGAGCATACAGGACAGTCCTATCACTGGAATTTGACAATAAACATCTAGGTAAGCTCCCAGTCAAAAGATTTGAGGATAAATCAACTACATCAAGCTCAGAATTGCATGACACATTCTCAAAGAGCATCCCAGTTAATTTGTTCCCAGAAATATTCAGATAATTAATAGAAGGAAGTGACAACAAAGCTGGCTGAAATGGCCCCACAAATGTGTTTGATGAGATATCCAATCTTTCAAGCTGATAATAAGAGCTCATTTCAGCCGGAATACCAGACCTGAACCTATTGTTTCTTAGCACAAGTGTAACCAACTTGTTGCCAAGCAGAGGAAATTGAGGTCCAAAAGCATTATCATCCAATTCCAGCACTTGAAGATTTGTCAAACGGCTCAAATCAGGTACTGCCCCATAAAAGTGATTATGAGAAAGTGAAAGAGTTCTCAAATTCTCCAAGGATCCAAGCGAATTTGGTAGAGATCCATTGAACAAATTGTTCTTCAAACTTAGCACGGTTAAGCCTGGAAGTGAATCAAGCCAATAAGGAAGCAGGCCAGTAAACATGTTGTTGTCAAGAATGAGTGTTTGGAGATTTGACACTGATGAAAGCTCCTGAGGAATGGAACCATAGAGAAAATTGGAACTCACATTAACTATTTCCAGTGATGACAAACGAGCAATCTTACTGGGCAGTGTACCCCATATACCAAGAGACACCAAAGTGAGGACTTTCAAACTTGGAAGCCTTACTAGTGTAGTGACAAATGAATCTATTGAGAAATTTCTAGGGAGAGGTGCATCTCGTCTTTCACCTATTATGTGAAGCTGTGTTATGGTGTCCTCATAGCACACTACAGTGAGAGAAGAGTTTGAATCTGTGTTGCAAAAGTCAGTGTTGTTGTTCCACTGGCTTAAAGCAGGAGGAAAGTCCAATAGCTGTTGAATTCTTAGAAGGGTCTGAGAGTGAGAGGATTGCAATTGCTCCGAGTGATAGATAGAAAGTATAATAGTAACCAACACCAGAAACACTGAGGGATGGTATCTATTTGCCATTAGCACCAAGTCATGCAGTGAATTAGAGAGTTTTGGTTATATGCTCAAAAGGATTGAAATTCTCTCAAAATTGAAGCATGGGAATACAAGCATAAGCCCTGCAATTACAAGAAGGCATGTTAATTTAAACAGACATAAAAAATATATTAAAAAAAGTTGAAAGAATCAACTGAATTAAAATAATCAAATATTACTACAATCGATTGGGTGCATGAACTCGAAAATTCTAAAGGAAAATCATTGTTTCATGCAAAATCAACATAGTAAAACCACTTGAGAAAAGTTTAGCCATAGTTCAGCATCAGGAAAACAGAAAAGCTTTACCAACTGATTGAAAATACAAATTAATGAGTGCAACGAGTTTAGCAGAGTTTAGAGCACAGCGTCTCTCTTTCTTCTTCAACCAAAACCAGAAAATAAAAACTGGAAAAAATGAGGTGGGGACAAGAAGGAAGAAAACAAAATTAGATATGAAAAAGAAGAAGAAAACAGAAACGTTTTAATGCCTTCAGAACTTGCACAGGCACCCAATTGAACAAAATCCAAAAATTTTTCAACCATATATTCAGAAACCTTTGAATAGTACTCTCCAAATCCTAGTGAAGCATGGAAACCATTTTCCAAGGTGTCAGTTTTTCTCTGCCCAAACCAAGACAAGCTGAAGCTGGTGACAAGGGTAGAAACTTGAAAACAAATGAAAAGATCAAAACTCACTCTATTCTCTCTCACAAGCTGACATTTCATCATTCTCAGTCATAAATGAATTGACATATTTCCTTTCCTTCATGAAAATTTTTTCTTTTTTAACATATTTTCCTTCTATTTTCTATTCTTTGTCTTGAAGGCCCAAAGGGATGCCATAGTAGCTTCACTAGGAAAAGCAAAAGAAAGATTCTTGCATAGAAGGGTGCCCTTTATTCTTAACTATGATTCTTTTTTACCCTTTAACCTCAGCATGTGGTGTCCAGCAGATCTGGTTGAAGCTGCAAGTTTTGTACTTTTCTCACAATTATGAGTGGAAATTTTGCTGAAGGGTGCTTTGGCTGGGTGTTCAGTAACGTAAGCTGTTACTTTCAAAGACTGGTAGGTCTTTGCTTTCTCTCACTTCAACTTTATGACATGGTCCCTCTATTTACATACCTGTTCCTGCTTTTGGTTACTCTCTCTCTTTCTCTCTCTCTCTTACCAACTTTTATCTTTTGTTTCTGTGTCAATGGTAGGATCAATGAACCTTTGAAGTAAAAGTTGAGAAATCCACGTCAGAGAACAATGCAAGCTCTTGAAGGAAAAGGAAGGAACCAGACACACATGATTTTGCATTGGATGTTCTGAACAAACACTTGACGCTAAATCATGTATTGTTATTTGTTAACAACCCACTTAGTGTTAAGAATATTTTGTAAAAGATATGATAGATTTTTTTGGCACTATAAAAAGGATAAGTTCGGTACCTTCCATGTGGAAAATTTGCATTTTCTATGTTTGCATGATAAAAATTAAGACTGTGCTAGAAATGATTGATTATAAAAAAAGTTATGGCTATTTAGAAAATACATTTAAATAATAAGTTTTGATTTTGTGAGAATTTTCTTTTTCTCGTTGACAGTTATGAATTATATTTTTTTTTAAAACTACTGCAAAAAGAGAGATTGAAAAGATTACAAATTAATGAGTAAAATAAATATTTTAAATTGGATCTCAGAAAAATAAATTATAAACAAAAATAGAAATTTTGGAAGGCTGTGTATTTCTAGAGCTATAAAAACGGATTAAGTCGACTTACTCTAGTTCATCCATGTGGATTAAATTCAAGAGTGAACTATCTAACTAACTTGGGTGAGTTAAAAAAAAAATATTAGCCCAATTTAACCCACTAATTTGGGGGGGTTGAGTCACCAAATTTAAATTAACAAAAAATTATAAACAAATATAAAAAATTATAAAACTAAGAGCACAAATATTGAAATAAAGATTAAAAATAAAATATCAAAAGAGACTAATTTAATTTGGGTAAATATTTGAATTTTTTTAAAATAAGTGGGTTGATAAAAATTAATACAAAAATAAATAATATTAAAAAATTAAATTAAAATTCTTGAATTGACTCAATTAATTATGGGTTGGCCTCTATAATCTGTAGATTAAATAAGTTAGATTAAAAAAAATCAAATATTTTAAGAGCGTAACTTTTTTTAATAATCTAACTCACTCAAAATCCATCACATATCACTTGACTCACTAATTACGTCCATTGACAGATATGTTTCTGCTTAGTTAAGTGATAGATTTCCTTGACACTGTTTTTTGGTTGATGGGCTACCTTACTTCTTCATTCAGCTTCTGAGTGAAGTCATGAATTCTTATACGTTACAATAAGATAATTAATATGAGAAACATGAGAATTTGTTTGAGCGAGAAATTCAACCAACTTTAACATTTTACAAAACTTTTGTGCCTTTCACCTCACTTAATCATCCCATGCTACATATGGTGCCATTGATGATATAAATATCACTTAGTTTCTTTCATCATCGACATGTTAAGCTAACTCATAATGCCCTTTTGAATTTACTTATTTTTTCAATAATCATGTTCCTAATTCCTTCACATAAATGAACGCCAAATTATATAACTTTTTCAGTCCTTTTTATTCTTATATTTCTTTTTGTATTATGAAATTGATTTTTTATGAGCAAACCCATGCTGCCTTACAAATTGAGGAATGCTACAAGTATATGTAGTATTTTTTCAAAAACAGAAACTGTTACTTATATGCATAACTTAAAATTAAATTGAGTTTATGTCATAGCTAATTTAATTCGGTTCTCAACTAAAATTAGCTTAATTTGTTTTCGGTCTAATATTGAAATGATAATCCAAATTAATTCCCAAATATTCCTCAATCAATGTGTCACGTACCAGAAAAATACTTCATTCAATTAATTATAGTTCAAGATATCTATATATCTATCCTCCGGTGTTGATTTGTTAGTTGAAGTGAGGTTTTAGGCCATATTTAATTAGTGGTGAAATCTCATTTTCCTCTCATCTCACTGATACTTTTTATTGAAAATAATAAAAAGTGTAATGGGGTTAATTTTCTTTGGTTAAAAACAGTTATTTTATAAGTAAATAAGTCGAAAAGAACTTATAAATAAAAACGAGTTCAATGCAGTTATTTTATAAAGCTTAATAAAATACATTAAAATTATTTTTATGTTATAAATAAAAAATTATTAAAATAATAAAAAATCATATAAGTTATTAATTTTTTTAATGTATATTTAAATACATATAAAAAATTTATAAAAATTAATCTAATGTATTTAAAAATTATGTAATAAAATAAAATATTATGACTTTTAATAAAATTTTATTATTTATTAATACCTTAATCAGACGTTAAAAAAAATGGTTCATGATATTACTACCTTTGCTTCTTTTAATTTATCTACTTCAGATAGTACCATGCTGCAATTAATGACATAGACAATATTGCAACCGCCATAAGGATATCATTCTTCTTTCTTGCACCTTAAAACCTTGATCTGCATGCAAAACCACACTTCATTTTCTAGAATTTAAAGCGATGGGAGCACCATTATGGAGCTGGGATGGTTGGCATCGAAGGGAGGAGCTCCATTAATGAAGAAAGGCAAGTGACGGAGAGAGAGAGAGCACGGCTTAATGATTTAAATAATACTTTTTTAAATAATAATTATCAAAATAAAACAAAATAAAAACTTATTTCTTGTCTAAGACAAAAATTTGCTACATAAACAGCTATTTCGTATTAAGTCGAGGCGAAATCAATTTTTTTTATTTAATGATTTCATCCTAAAAATAGATAAAATGTGTACTGAAAAAAAATTGAATTATAATTTCTCGCTCCCGACATGTGGTCCAATCACGTTGTTTCGTCTTGACTCAGATGAAAAGGTGATTTCATTTGACTTAGGGACAAAACAATATGATTGGGCCACGTGTCAGCGGAAAAACGGTAACGGTGCCTCCCTCTTCCCTTCTCACCTTTTACTGTTTCAAATGTATTTCCTCTATTTTTTTTCATTCAACAACGTGGGTGGTAATTTTTTTTATCGTTTTAGCTTGATTCGTGAGTGAGCTTGGTCATCCATTACAGAATCATGTCCACATCTGCTTGGTTTGCAGCGAGTGAAGGTGTTTTTGGACTGAAAGTTTAAGGAGGTTGAGAGAACTGGTAATCTGCTACACAGTCACAATGAACGAAGAAGAAAGGTAGTCAGAGGTCTAGAGAGACACCGTCGCTGTCCAAATAACTTGACGCTGTCGTTGGGAGCCCTCCGTCTCCAGAAATCACCACCTCCGACATTGAAAATCTCCGCAAGTTTTTCCATTTATGTTTTTTTATTTTTTATAAATAGAAATACTTGGAATGTAATAAAAAATATTATTTTGACCAAAATTTTTATAGTAAAAATAATATTAAAAATTAAAATTTTATAACTAAATTTATTAAATTTTTAGCCTGTAAAAAAAATCTTATAGTAATATTTAGATTAAAAATTTAGTTGAAATAATTTTGGTAATTTTACAGAAATTAAATAATAACCAGAATTTTTAAAATTAAATATTTATAGTAATATTTAGTATAAAAATTAAACTTGCATGTAGAATTATTATAGTTATTTGAGGTGTAAATTTAAAAACAACTAAAAAATAATTTTAAAAAATTAAATACAATAATAAAATTCAGAATAGAAAAATAGAAAATAATTGTATCAAATAGGTTAACTAATTATATAAGAAATGATAATCAGAAAATAGTATATAAAACTTATAACATAAATTCTGTTTTTTATATTAATTATCATTAAAATATGTAAATAAATATATTTATTTATGATGATTAAAGAACAAATTTAGATAAATAAAAACAGTTATATTAAAAATTAAAAGTATTAAAATTGACAACAAAAATTTATATTAAAATTATAGTAGTAAATATTTGACTATATAAATAATTGCAACAAAAATATATAATTTAATATTGGTTAATAATGATGAAATAATAAATTTAGTTATGTAATTTAAATTATTGGAGTGATATTAATTAGTTTAGAATAAAAATTTTTATTTATATAATTTAATTTATGATGAAATAATAAAATTCGTTACTAATAATATGAGATTAAATTATTATTGAAGTGATATTATTAGAGTGTTACTAATAATATGAGATTAAATTATTTTAAATAATCTAATTTTTAATGAAATAAGAAAATTAGTTATCCAATATAAATTTTTAGGGGCTATAAATTAATTGAGATAAATTATTTATAATTATTTAATTTAATTTAGAAAGAAAAAAATTTGAATGTCGAATATAAATTTTTAGAGTGATTGTAATTAGTTTAGGTTAATTATTGATAATTATATAATTTAATATATGATGACCAATAAAAAATTAAACATAAATAACTTGTTAATTAGTGTTGTTATTGTATGATGAAAATTGTTAAATGGGAAGTACTACAAATATTTTAATGTTTGTAGTTTTCAATTAATATAGTAATTTATTTTGATGTACTAAGTTAAAAAAATTGTTAAATATAGGAGAAAAATCCATAAAATATTAATACATATTTATGAACAAATTACTAATTTATTTAGTTAAATTTTAAAAATTGGTTATGAATAATTATTTTTTGATTTTATTTGTATTACAATGATTAAAATGTTATAAATAGATTTTATATTTGAATAATGTGATGAATTAAGAACATATTATGGTATTATACTTGATGCTTGTTATGAAATTTTTTTGTATAATTTATATTAAAATTTAAAATGTTGACCATGTTATATTTTATAGATAATTTATATTTTATGTATTTAAGTTGATAACATATTATTTTTGTAAATGGCTTCATCTTCATGACAGAATAGAGTCATTCATTCTGGACAAGATCCTTCATAATTGTGCTTACAAAATATTCACATGTCTAAACATATTTGGAATGGTCGGGATTATCCTATTTTGAAGGTTAGGAAAAGTCAATTTATTCCAGCTGGTTTGGATGGTGTTCCAGAGGATATCTTTCCACATTTAGAGCTTGTAGGATTTACTAGAATTGCTCACATATGTCAGTTTCCATTAGACCTCTCGTTGATCACTGCATTAGTAGAGAGATGGAGGCTAGAGACACCATACTTTTCACTTACCTAGGCAAGTGTACGATCACTTTGCAGAATATATCAGTGTTGTTAGGTTTACACATTGATGGAAGACTTGTGATAACACCTATTAGAGGTAATTATGTTGATATTGTTAAGGAGAGCCTAGGGATT